GCTCCAAAGTTAGAGGTGGTACTAGGTCAAGAACCTGTCTTCATAATGACTGCCACCATTTATTCAGCACTGGCTACACGGGGGGTGATTTGCATGTATTATTTATTCATATGGAAATAGCAGGTACCATGATGAAGAACAGAAACATTTTGTATGGCATTATTATTGCATATGGGTCTGGAAGAAAGGAAATTATGTGTCACTTTAAAGTCTGCGTAGGTGGGTATGACTTACTCTATAAAGAGGGAGGGGTATTTCCATAATGATAGTACTTAGCACACTACATTGTGATTGCCTGTTTGTGTGTCTGTGTCCCCCACTAGACTGTCAGCAGAGAAGTCTGTCTGCTCCCCATTGTATCTCCATTTCTTAGCACTGTGCTGGGCACATAATAGGCACTTAGTAGACATTTGCAAAATGAAACACAACAACAAAGTTATTTTACATATTGGGAAACTGAGGCTTGATAAGGTGAAGTTACCTGCCCAGTATCACTGAGTGAGGATTCCCTCCAGGTCCTCTAATTCCAAAGCCCACGCTTCTTCTGGTGAACCATCCTACTCACTGGTGTCCCTATTCTAACCCAGTACTGGGTACATGACGGGAGCTCTGTTTATGACTGAATTCTTGCAATGCTACTTGTAAATTGTGGGCTTGGGCAGGTTGTAACCTTGGCATTTGTTGAGTGGAGGTGGGAAATCGTACCTACCTTGCAGGCCTGGTGTAAACTTTGGCCACAGTGATTAGATCACATAGTCTGGTGGGGATCCTCAAAATGTCGATGAGCACTAGGGTTATTCGGGCCTCTTCCCTGCCCACAGTCTCCCTGGGTGACCCACACATCTACAGATGAGTCTCAAATGTAGATTTCCTAAGAACCCTTGACTCTTGTAGCCAAATGGTTGTCTGGCATTTCCGCACTATTATCTGTCTAACCAGCTTCTAAAACATAACCTGGCTGGAACAAAGCTCCTGATCCTCTTCTGATTCTGTCTGGCCCCTCATTTTTCCTCATCTCAATAAAGGGCACCGCTATTTCTCCAGTTGTCCAAACCAAGTATTCTCATGATCTTTTTTACTCTCTCTTTTCCTCACTTCTGATCAGTGGCAAGCCCTGTCAACAACACCTCCCAAACATATCCCAAGTCCGAACACTTCTCCATCCCCGCTGCTGCCAATCTCTTCCAAGCCGCTGACCTTTGGACCATTGCGATGGCCTCCTGACCTGTCTCTGCATCTTTGTTTCCCTAGAATCAGGGAATGTGTTCAAGCAGGGACAATCTGAACTGCATTTGCTGGCTCATAAGGCCCTACTCCACCTGAGCTTTGCTTAACTCCTGGCCTCATCTCTCTCCCTGTTCCCTGAGCCCCTGCTCCCTGCTCCCTGAGCTCCTGCTCCCTGCTCCCTGAGCCCATGTTCCCTGTTCCCTCAGCCCCTGCTCTCTGCTCCCTGAGCCCCTGCTCCCTGCTCCCTGAGCTCCTGCTCCCTGAGCCCCTGTTCCCTGCTCCCTGAGCCCCTGCTCCCTGCTCCCTGAGCCCCTGCTCCCTGCTCCCTGAGCTCCTGCTCCCTGCTCCCTGAGCCCCTGTTCCCTGCTCCCTGAGCCCCTGCTCCCTGCTCCCTGAGCCCCTGCTCCCTGCCCCCTGAGCTCCTGCTCCCTGCTCCCTGAGCCCCTGTTCCCTGCTCCCTGAGCCCCTGTTCCCTGCTCCCTGAGCCCCTGCTCCCTGTTCCCTGAGCTCCTGCTACCTGAGCCCCTGTTCCCTGTTCCCTGAGCTCCTGCTCCCTGAGCCCCTGTTCCCTGTTCCCTCAGCCCCTTCTCCCTGTTCCCTGAGACCCTGCTCCCTGTTCCCTGAGCCCCTGTTCCCTGTTCCCTGAGCCCCTGCTCCCTGAGCTCCTGCTCCCTGCTCCCTGAGCCCCTGTTCCCTGCTCCCTGAGCCCCTGCTCCCTGCCCCCTGAGCTCCTGCTCCCTGCTCCCTGAGCCCCTGTTCCCTGCTCCCTGAGCCCCTGCTCCCTGTTCCCTGAGCTCCTGCTCCCTGAGCCCCTGCTCCCTGAGCTCCTGCTCCCTGCTCCCTGAGCCCCTGTTCCCTGCTCCCTGAGCCCCTGCTCCCTGTTCCCTGAGCCCCTGTTCCCTGTTCCCTGAGCCCCTGCTCCCTGCCCCCTGAGCTCCTGCTCCCTGCCCCCTGAGCCCCTGTTCCCTGCTCCCTGAGCCCCTGCTCCCTGTTCCCTGAGCCCCTGCTCCCTGCTCCCTGCTCCCTGTTCCCTCAGCCCCTGTTCCCTGATCCCTGTTCCCTCAGCTCCTGCTCACTCACCTTTTATTTAGGCTATGACTGTTTCTGTCTCTACTCTGGCTCCTCCCTTTGCCTGGAATTTTCCCTCCAGATCTCAACACGGTTGGTTCATTCTTGCCCAAATGATACTTCCTCTGAGAGGCTGTGCTTCATCACACAGTCTAAAATGGACGCCTGGTCACTGTGCCACGTCACCTATGCAGTAGACCACCTACCCTCACAAGAATGTTGGTGCTAGGAGATCGGTGATTTGACTGCCTAGTTGACTCTATCGCCCCAGTGCTGAGGGCGATGCAGACATATAGGCCCTCAGTAATTGTCTGTGAATGAATATTGACGATTGTACCATGACAGGGGCTGTGGTTAGTTACCACCTGTGTGTTCACCTGGCCTCTGATAACTCTGGTGATGCAAACAGTCTAGTCCAGGAAGCTCACGACAGCAGCAGCTCTAGGTTTAGAGCAGGTGCCCCGGGGTGTGGAGCTTCATGAGCTGTAAAAGTCCAGCCACTTAATTTGCAGGTTGTGTGGGAACCATCCTCCTTCAAGCTATTGTTTGATCACCATTGAGCCGTGTCTTATTTGACCTTGGGTAAAATATCCAACCTTTCTGAGCCTCTTGTTCCTCTTCTGCTAGAATGCAGATGAGTACAGCATCCTTTCTGAATCGCTATGAAGGAAAAACTACACCAAGTACTTAGTCCAATGCTTGGTTGTCTTTCTCCGTCATGTCCAGTTTCTTACCTTCAGGAGCCTGTCACTTGCCATCGCTGTATACAGCAGGCATCAGAGGTTTGCCAAAGACCGTGGTGCAGAGGTTGCAGTTAGGCTTGGGGTCAGCCGTATACATCAGTGGACCACAGCAGCATGTGGGAGGTTACAGGAAGAAATGCACAGTGCCCGGCACAAGGTCAACAGTCAATGCCTAGAGCCATTCTCATTCTCATTATTATTATTCGTCTGGTCCAGCTGCCTCATTTGCAGATGCGGAATCTGGGGTCCTGAGAGCCTGGGTGATTGCTGTTGCTTTATGTGAAGGTCAGTGGACAGTGTGAGTGATGAGGTCAGAGGAACCAGTCCTGAAGTCCCGCCCACTTCTGCCTCGTGTGCCCTGCAGCTGTGCTGACTTGGTAGGGGTGATTACATCCAATCAACAGGCTCTCCATTCGCACCGCATTCAACATCAGCAACATATTCTATAAGGCAACACGTGTCTCAACCTTGAAGCTTAGGTTTATGTAGTAAAACAAAATCCTATGGCCACAGGCTGGGTGCAGCGGCTCACACCGGTAATATCCCAGCATCTTGGGAGGCCGAGGCAGGAGGATGGCTTAAGCCCAGGAGTTTGAGACCAACCTGGGCCACATAATGAGACCCCCATCTCTCTAAAAAACAATGCTATGGTCAGGAGCTGTGGCTCAGCCTGTAATCTCAGGACTTTAGGAGGTCAAGGTGGGAGGATTGCTTGAACCCAGGAGTTTCAGACCTGCCTGTGCAACATAGGCAAACCTCATCTCTTAAATAGAACGAAAAAATGAGCCTGGCACGGTGGAGCATACCTAAGGTCACAGCTACTTAGGAGGCTGAGGTGGGAGGGTCGCCTCAGCCCAGGAGATCGAGGCTGCAGTGAGCCGTGATCTTGCCACTACACTCTAGCCTGGCAACGAAGCTCTCATGCAGGTCTAGTCAGACTAAGTGGAGACCTCAGTCCACATGCTGCCACCTGCTGCCAGCATCAGACATCACTTGGGTTGTTAGACTACAGGTATCTGTGGAACTGCTGTTGCCGAAAGGGTGCATGGCAGAGTTTGTTCAGTTACATATGAGTGCTTCATTGACTTATCAGATATTTTAATTGTATTTAAGTGTGTATGTCTTTAGAGGGGGCAGGAAGTCTCCAGGTCACTGTATTCCCCACTGCTTTCTACTGCCTTTGGGCTAATTCACTCATTTAGAGGACTGACTTGGTCCTGAAGGCACCTGAGGTTGCAGGTCTGCAGAATCCAGCCTTCTCACTCTGATGAGGCACTCAGGATCGTGGGGCTGTGGTAGGACAGGCATGCAGGAACCAGAACAGATGCCAGTGGAACACAGAAATCATGCGCCTTCAACACACCGGGTTATCACTAACCAACAGCACATTTCAAATCCACCAGCCAGGAAGAGACCTGGAGCATAGGCCCTGCTTTCTTGGAATTCTGAGCAGAGCCGGAAGGCACAGAGAATCCAGAGAACTGGGCTTCCCTTGGGAAATGACACAGTTTGGGTGATTTCTAGAGGTTTGTTTTAAGCTGAGTCCTTTGGGAAACTTCACACACCCTTGATTTTTCTTTGCTTGTCCTCCTGGGATTAGCAAAAAGAGCCTGTTTCTAGGTCTGGTGTCTGGTGACTTGACCTTCCCTTCAGACCTTCCATAGTTCTAGAAATGCTTCCCTAGAGAGCAGGGTGTGAGAATAAACAAGGTAGTGGGTGAGCTGTGCGGATTTCTGTGCTTGCAGTGGAGGCCGCCTCTGACAAGGAGGGTCCTGTACTGGGAAGTGGGGGACTGGCCCCTGCTAAGTGCCTGGCGACCCTCATCTCTTGCAGAGCATGAATGCATAACCTCTCTGCCAGAGAGTTATACAGTGACCTGGAGACTTCCTGCCCCCTCTAAAAACACACACTCCCTTTTTCTTTCTAAAGCCACTGGAGCCCTGAGAGAAAGCAGAGGGTTACCTTCTTTTCCAGAGCACAGTGCTGGGAGCCAGGCTCAGGGAGATCTGTTGTCCAAGTTCTTCCCTTCTAAGGCAGGCCCTGGGGGAGGAGGCCGGGGAGAGGGTCTGTGACTCTGCAGCCTGATGCCCAGGCCAGATCAGCCCATTCTGTGTTTCCTTGTATGACGCCATCAGAGGTCTCCTCCCTGTTTGGAGGCTCAGGTGAGTCAGTCCCCTCTCTCCCATTCTGCCCTCATGCTGGGCTGCCTCCACTCTGCCCCCACGGCCGTATCTGCAGAAGGAGGCTCTTCAGCCTTCTCCACCTGACAAGATATGGAGATTCTGCCCCCAGCCACCTTTTTAAAGAAAGTGGGAAAAGCGGCGCCCTCTAGCGCCAGCCGCACAAGTTATCACATTTCCCCTCTTCTTCTGAAGAGGTATTTTTTTCCTCTTTTATGCTGCCCCCAAGTGGTTGTTTCTGTGCATTGCAGCCTCAGTCTCGCTGGGATGTTTTCCACTGTGTAGCTGGAGGGGCTGGGGCAGCCTAATGGTCAGCACTCACGTCACAAGGAAGGGAAGCAAAGCCAGGAGGAGGAAGGGCCTTGGCAGGGCAGGGTGAGCGCCCCGGGCCTCCCACGGCAGTCCAGGGCCTTCCTTCTCCCTGACCACTGGCAACACCTTGCCATCCTTAAGGGCTCTCCTGGACCCATGACTACAAATGAGTCAAGGGCATTATCCTCTTGAATGTGAAGGGATGGATGAAGACACATTCAGAAAAGGAAGTGCTCATTGTGGAGAAGATGAACATAACTGAAGGAATTTGCTTCGGTCTTTTTGGCTGAAAAAATATTTATGAAATTGCTGAACACCACACACACACACAGACACACACGCGTGCACACGCAGAATTAGACACCCTGTAGACTTCCAGGCACCGATAAAAAGATCATTAAAATTCATCTCACATGACTTCTCATTGAAGGTGCAGGTGAGAAAGCTGAGGTGCAGAGAAGGAGGTGGGCACAGGGTACCCTTCTGAGGACCCCGCCTCAGCAGCTGTTACCCCAGCCACACTGTCCTCCTCCTCTTCTGCTTTTAGCTCCTCTAACCATCTTTCTCTTCCTCCTTTACTCACAAAGCCTATAAAAGGGAGGGAATGAGGCATGCGGGGTTGGCCTGTGAGTGAGGAAAGGGACTGTCCTCCTTTCCGGTCTCTCCCTGTCCCCACCTCTCCTGGGGACCCCCTTCCAGACCCTCTGCAGCTGTGCTCACGTCCCACTACTCGGCCTCACTGCTGTTCTACAAAAGCAGCATTATTGCCTACCGATCGAGACTAGGAACCTGCACACAATTTGTCACATTTTCCCTCTTCTGAAGAGGTATTTTTTCCCTCTTTTATGCTGCCCCCAAGTGGTTGTTCCTGTGCATTGCAGCCTCAGTCTCGCGGGGATGCTTTCCACAGTGTAACTGGACGGGCTGGGGCAGCCTAATGATCAGCACTCACATCACAAGGAAGGGAAACAAAGCCAGGAGGAGGAAGGGCCTTGGCAGGGCAGGGTGAGCGCCCCGGGCCTCCCACGGCAGTCCAGGGCCTTCCTTCTCCGTGACCGCTGGCAACACCTTGTCATCTTTAAGGGCTCGCCTGGACCCATGGCTGCAAATGAGTCAAGGGCGTTTTCCCCATCCCAAGCCCTCCCCAGTTCAACCACTACCCATCTCAAGACCATCCCATATCAACTGCTCCCCAATTAATCTCCACCTCATCTGAACCCCTCCCCAACTCAACCTCTTCCCATCTCAACCCCTTCACAGCTCAACCCCTTCCTACCTCAACCCCTTAACATTTCAACCCCCCCAACTCAACCTCGTCACAGCTCAGCCGCTTCACAACTCAATTCCTTCACAACTCAACCACTTCCCATCCCAGGCACTTGACAACTCAACCCCTTCCCATCTCAGTCCCTTCACAACTCAACCCTTCCCATCTCAGCCCCTTCACAACACAACCCCTTCCCATCCCAGGCACTTGACAACTCAACCCCTTTCCATCTCAGCCCCTTCACAACACAACCCCTTCCCATCCCAGGCACTTGACAACTCAACCCCTTCACAACTCAATCGCTTCCCATCTTAACCTCTCCCAAACTTGATCCTTCAGCATCTCAACCATACTCATCTCAGTGCCTCCCTTTTTCATCCTCTCCTCATCTTACCTCATCTGAAAGCTACTCATCTCACCACACCCATTTCAGTCTGCACTGATCTCAACCCATGCCCCATCTCACCACACCCATCTCAATCTGCACCCATCTCAACCCATGCCCCATCTCACCACACCCATCTCGATCTGCCCCTGCTCCCTGTTCCCTCAGCCCCTGCTCCCTGCTCCCTGTTCCCTGTTCCCTCAGCCCCTGTTCCCTGTTCCCTCAGCCCCTGCTCCCTGCTCCCTGTTCCCTGTTCCCTGAGCTCCTGCTCCCTGTTCCCTCAGCCCCTGTTCCCTGTTCCCTCAGCCCCTGCTCCCTGTTCCCTGTTCCCTGAGCTCCTGCTCCCTGTTCCCTCAGCCCCTGTTCCCTGCTCCCTGAGCTCCTGCTCCCTGTTCCCTCAGCCCCTGTTCCCTGTTCCCTTAGCCCCTGCTCCCTGTTCCCTGTTCCCTGAGCTCCTGTTCCCTGTTCCCTCAGCCCCTGTTCCCTGTTCCCTCAGCCCCTGCTCCCTGTTCCCTGTTCCCTGAGCTCCTGCTCCCTGTTCCCTCAGCCCCTGTTCCCTGCTCCCTGAGCTCCTGCTCCCTGTTCCCTCAGCCCCTGTTCCCTGTTCCCTTAGCCCCTGCTCCCTGTTCCCTCAGCCCCTGCTCCCTGTTCCCTGAGCTCCTGTTCCCTGTTCCCTCAGCCCCTGCTCAGTGCTCCCTGTTCCCTCAGCTCCTGCTCACTCACCTTTTATTTAGGCTATGACTGTTTCTGTCACTACCCTGGCTCCTCCCTTTGCCTGGAATTTTCCCTCCAGATCTCAACACGGTTGGTTCATTCTTGCCCAAATGATACTTCCTCTGAGAGGCTGTCCTTCATCACACAGTCTAAAATGGACGCCTGGTCACTGTGCCACGTCACCTATGCAGTAGACCACCTACCCTCACAAGAATGTTGGTGCTATGAGATCGGTGATTTGACTGCCTAGTTGACTCTATCGCCCCAGTGCTGAGGGCGATGCAGACATATAGGCCCTCAGTAATTATCTCGACCTCTCCCCATCTCAACTCCTCTCCTGTCTTAACCCTCCTCACCTCAGTCCCTCTCCATCTCAACTCCTCTACCTCAACCCCTCCCTCATCTCAGCCCTCCCTCATCTCAGCCCCTCCCCACCTCCTCTTCTTTAGCTCAACCCTTCCCCATCTCAGCCCTCCCTCATCTCAGCCCTCCCTCATCTCAGCCCTCCCTCATCTCAGCCCTCCCTCATCTCAGCCCCTCCCTCATCTCAGCCCTCCCTCATCTCAGCCCTCCCTCATCTCAGCCCCTCCCTCATCTCAGCCCTCCCTCATCTCAGCCCTCCCTCATCTCAGCCCCTCCCTCATCTCAGCCCTCCCTCATCTCAGCCCCTCCCTCATCTCAGCCCCTCCCTCATCTCAGCCCTCCCTCATCTCAGCCCTCCCTCATCTCAGCCCCTCCCCACCTCCTCTTCTCTAGCTCAACCCTTCCCCGTCTCAACTGTCAGCCAACTCAACTCCTTTCATTTCAACCCCTCCCCCATCTCAGCTACTCGCTCTTTTTTAACTTTTTCCCACCTCGAGACTTCCCCATCTCAAACCCCCCTCCACCTCCTCTCCTACCCCAGGGATCTCAACTCCTCTCCCATCTCAACCCCTCCTCATCTCATCCCGTCCCTGTCTCAGCCCCTCCCCATCTCAGCCCCTCCCAGTCGCAGCCCCTCCCCATCCCCCGCCCTTCCCTGTCCCAGCTCCTGCCTGTCTCAGCCCCTCCCCATCTCAGCCCCTCCCCATCTCAACCCCTCCCCGTCTCGGCCCCTGCCCCTCCCAGCTCCTCCCTGTCTCAGCCCCTCCCTGTCTCAGCCCCTCCCCATCTCAGCACCTCCCTGTCCCAGCTCCTCCCTTTCTCAGCCCCTCCCCATCTCACCTCCTCCCCGTCTCAGCCCTTGCCACAGCTGCCATCTGTTGTGGTTGCTTCTCCCCGCCCCCCCCCGACCATGTTTATCTTAAGCTGGGGAAAAGTTCCCCCTCCCTTCCTCCCTCCTTCCCTTCTCTCTTTCTGTCGTGAAAATGAAATTATATTACACATAGAGGTCTTTGTTTTGCTCTTACTGATTTCCTCCAAAAAAATTAGCAGTATGTGGTGTGCATCTTTCTTTGGCCCGTTCTGGAAAGGTGTCCGTAGCACCTTACATGCTACAGAGTATTTCTCAACATGGCTCAACCTCAGTTTATTCCAGCAGCCCCTGTCAACGGACGTTCCCAGCTGCTCTTCACCAGCTGTGCTGTCGTAAGCCTCCCTTACATACCTTTAAGATGTGCACTTTCATTTCTGTAGCGTGAAGTCCTAGAAGCAGTGGACAAGTCTCTCCCATGCTGTGTCCTTGCCGACCCCCCCCCCCCCCGCCCCAGGACTGGCACTTCTCTCAACACCCCTCCTCTGCATCTCAGCCTCAAATTGAAATGTGTGCTTTCACAGTCTGTTACCTCTCTGGCCCCGCTGGAGAGGCCCGATAAATTAATAATATGCCAGCAGGAAACAGAGAGATGGAGTTATTAATTGTCAGTCAGTGAGTCCCCCCTCTCAAGGTCCTAATTAACATGCTGACAGCTGCGGTTTTACCCAGAGCCAGGGCAGGGCTCTGGGGAGACTGGCTCAGCTAGGGGTATCCGCTGTAGAGCGGTGCCTTTCTGGGTAGGGTGGAGGAATGCTTGCAAGAAGCTTGTGAATTCAGAAGTTTCTTCAGGGATCCCTGTGTGCCTTCTGGGGTGGGGGAGAGAAACAGGCTGAGGGTGGGGGCAGGCATGGGAGTTTTGGGGTCTAGGTGTGTGCTGCTTTTGGGCCCAAGTGATGGGTTTGTGATTCTGCTTCTGCTGCAGGGCACTGACACTCGCCAAGCTGTATTGGGTATAGTTGTCTCAGGGAAGTGCCTACTTTCAAACCAAGGTTCCCTTGATGGAGAGGACTGCCCCAGGAAGACCGCCTGAATATCGATATTACTCCAACCCATGGCCCTCTTTCATAACACACACACTCCTGGAAAGGGTCACATTAAATCTGGCACTGGTGTATGGCCAGGTGCACATAGGGTTGCTCAAGAAAGGTTTCTGTAAAGGAAGCCAGGTGCAGTCGCTTACATCTGTAGTCCCGGCACTTTGGGAGGCTGAGACGGGTGGATCACGAGGTCAGGAGTTCGAGACCAGCCTGGCCAACATGGCGAAACCCTGTCTCTACTAAAAATGCAAAAATACAGTAGCTATAATCCCAGCTACTTGGGAGGCGGAGGCAGGAGAATCGCTTGATCCTGGGAGGCAGAGGTTACAGTGAGCCGAGATCATGCCACTGCACTCCAGCCTGGGCAACAGAGTGAGACTCCATCTTAAAAAAACAAAAAAGAAATTTTTCTGTAAAGGAAACTGCCTATAGGAAGCTGTGTGACCTTGGCCAAGCCTCTTCGCCTCTCTGGGCCCTGTTTAATGTGGATTAGAGGTGGTTCTTGGTTTTTGTTTGCTCTATACTGGGCAGCCAGAGCCATCCAGAGCACCAGCCAGGACCTGCTCCCCAAGGGCGCTCCTCTGTTACGGGCCTGCCCCTCTGCCAGACCTCTCTCCACATGGTGGAGGGTCTGAGTCTTTTTTATTTTGAACCCTCTTCTGCACCAGCATCTATGCTTTAGTGCTGCCATCTCAGGCTCCTCTCAAAAAGTTTCAGGCGGCAGAGTTGGTGGAAGCTGGAAAGCCATTTGAATTAGGGTGCCTAGGTCTGTTGCTGAGGAGCCTGGGCACATGTCTTAACCTTGCTGGGGCTGAGGACACCAGCATTCAGGGTTTAGGGTTGTGTGTGAGGGGCTTAGTATCATTATTACTGATGTTTGTTTTTAGGCTCTGTCCCACTTCCCCCAGGCTGGCTGGGCAGGCAGAACAGCCATTTATACAGTGAGATGCCCAGTGACTCTGCCTTCCCCATTCCCAGTCTGCTTAAAAAAATATGAGTGCCTAGACCCCAACCATCAAAGATTCAGATCAGTCCGTATTAGGTGGAGTTTTAACA